CTAATGAACATTCGGTAGAAATTGGCGAATCCGATGAATCCTTATACTTCCGTCGTTGTTATTGGTCGTGGCCATATTTTAATCGCTTCGATCTTCGCTGGCTCCATCCTAATTCTACTAGGCGAGATTTCGTATCTAAGGAATACTGTTTTCGTAACGTAGAATTCGCTCTTATCCTTATTGACTGACAACTTATGCTTATAGAGTATATCTAGCACTGCCCTTATATACTTCTTATATTCTTCGAGTATTTTAGAGAAAATGAGGATGTTATCTAGGTAATAGACTGCGAATCGGTCGAGGAATAGGCGAATCGCATGATTAACAACCGCCTAGAAGGTTGCCGGTGCATTCGTCAATCCAAAGGGCATTATAAGGTACTTATAATGGCCGTAGGGAGTGCGAAACGCTATCTTCTATTCGTCCCCTTCCTTGATGCGAATATAGGTATACGCTATTAGAAGGTCGAGGCAAGTAAAGTAACAGGCGCCTGCCAACTAGTCTCGAAGCCGCGAGATAAGTGGCAAGGGGTACCGGTTCTTTACTATCTCTTTATTCAGCTGTCGGTAGTCCATATATATCCGAAGCTTCCTATCCTTCTTTGGAACGAACAGGACTAGGTAGCCCGCCAGTAATGTCGATAGTCTAATATGCCCTATCTTGAGATTCTCCTCAAGATATCTCCTCAACTTAGCATCTTGCTTTTCGTTAGTATAGTATACCTTGAAGAACTTCAACTGGGCTCCTTCCTTGAGTTTGATTTCGTGATCCCAAGGTCCATGGCCTAGTAGCCCCTTAAGATGCTTCGCTTCGAACGCCGGGTATCCTTAGTATTCTATTAAGATCTTACCCGTTTCCGCGTTCTTCTCTATACTCCGGTAGTACAAGAACTTGTCTCCGGCCGCGATGCTGGCCGCTTCCCTCTAGGTGACCTAATCCTGGAATTCGAATTCTCCGGTCTTATCGATTAAGATAACGGCGATTTCGATATCGTCTATATCTCTCTAAGCCATATAAGGGCATCGTCGCAAGTGGCGTCGTCTCTAGCCTAGTCTTGCCGATTCTCGCTGTTCTTCCTAGTGACTGCCGCCTCTTCCTAAGTCCGTAGTACGCTGCCTGGTACTGTCCGTCTCTTACGGTGGATCTATAGGGGCCGCCTTCCAGGGCGATCTTCCCTGCTGCGATCCGTCGTCTACGCTTTCTATCTCGTTGGTCGGATACGGCCTCTATTCCCAAGGTCATAGATGGCTATCTCCCTTCTAACTAATATCTAGGTCGTAGTCTCGATACTATAGGCGTCCTAGAATTATGTCCTTCTTAGGCCCTATTTCAACAATGTCAAACACTACTCTGGTGGTTTTCCCTTCTACCGTGATCTCAAGTAGTTCTATTTCCTATTGTACCTATTAGGTGTCAAATGGTCCTTTAATAATATACTATTTCTTCTTAATCCTCTATAGGATCCTAAGTCGATTGACAAGTGCTGGCGAGATAAGGTCAACCTAAGACCCTCCATCTACCAGTGCTAATATTTGGAATCCTTTCTAGTATGCCATAACCCAGATTCTATTATCGGGCTTGTCGTTCTAAATCGCAGCGGCTTCCTTTTCGCCCGCTAGGAGATTATAGATCCTTTTCCTTACGTGGTTCTTCCTATACCCGCAGATCTGTCGTCGTTATAATAGGTTTAGTGGTTTTCGGGCCCCTTAAAGGGCCCTAAGCCGTTTCCCAACTCCGTCTGGGCATCTAGATAGGCGTCCCCATCTTCCTATACCTCTTGGTTACCGTCCTGCAGTCCAAGTCTTAGGAGTTCATTAAACAATTGGCGAACTTCGTTAGCTCTTCTTTCTTCCTATCGCCGTTCGCAAGGCGTCATCCACCTTCGTATATATATCTTTCGCTCGTGATATTCTTAGAGCTTCGCTTATATATGGATTAAGCAATCTTGGCTCTAATACTGTTAAGTACTATTAGGCCACTGCTGGCAGTCTTCTAGCTGGGTTCTTTACGGTGTCACCCTGATTCTATTATATACGTTGGTCCTCTCGACCTTCTATAGGAACTGGTCGGTGCCAGTCCCTGCATCCTAAACCTATAGGACTAGTCGAGGTTCTCCGTTTCGGTCGGTAGGCCTATCGGGCCAAAAGTCATTATCGAATTTTGATCGAAAATGGTATCGGCATTCGTACGCAATACACTAGAACCATAGGACGTAGACGTGGTTATATCGCTAGGGTTAGAGTCGAAGTACGTCTTGTTCGTAGGGTTTATAATACAGGCCGAATCCAATCCAGATGCATACTACGTTGCTATCCCCGACGCCGTTATACGGCTTCTTATTCCAAAAAGTGTCCTAATCTTATAGTTCCTGCCCCTTAAGTCTTCGCTGGTTCTAGGCCTTCTAATATTTAGCCTTAGGGTTCTTAATTCTATTATTTCTCCTATCCTAGTCTAGGTCCTATGCTAGTCCATCCTATAAGTTCGAATAGTACTCTTCCTAGACCCTGACTAACTTGGCCTTGACGAATTCTAGTTGGCTCATGGCCTAAGCCTTTTCTTCCACAAGTCTTCAGGTAACCGTTCGAAGCTCGGCCTGTTCCTCCTCAGCCTCCTAAAGGCGCTAGGCGAGAAAGATAGGGTTTAGGCCAACGGGTTCGTTATCCGATTGTTATATCCTCTATTGACCTTCTTCATTCTAGGTTAACTAGAATCCCCAACCTTCTACGAGTTATAATGCTATGGCGGCGGTAATATCGTAGCCTATGATAGGTTCTTTGAATATAACATAGGGGCTATTGCTTCCTGACCAAGAGGAGTTATTAATACTTCCTTCAGCTATGCCTCGGTCAACTACGTTGTCGAAGTCATCCTCGGTATAGCTTGCCGTAGCCATTTCAACTACGTAGGTTGACTTATCGATCGTAGTATTTTCCTTGCTAGGCACCTGCTTCTAGTTCTTCTTGCTATAGCACTCCCGCTTAAAGTACCCTTTCTTGCCGCAATTAAAATAGGTGGCCTAGGACTTGTCCTTCCGTCCTTTATCCTCACGCTAGGTGGCGTCTACGTCCATTGGACTAGCATAGGTGCTATATAATATACTAGGGTACTATTGCTTCTTTTTATCGTTTGCCTTGACGAATATAGGCTATATTCTATATCCCTTATACTACTGGCGCCTAGTATAAATCCGGTCGTCAATACAGATAGCCATAACGATATATTCATCAAGCGTATCGGGTCAGTCCTTTTAATATAGTTCATCCTTGACTTCTTCCTTTAAGCTATCGTAGAATAACTATATAAGACCTTCGTTATTGATCTCGCACCGAAGTGAATCCTAGCGGAACTATATAGCGTAGGTAGCTACCGACTTTATCTACCTTAGGCGTACGAATTACTCCTATATATAAAGCTTCTTATTATAGTCTCCAAATACCTTCTGGATTTCCTATTTAAATTTATCGTATAATTTGAAAATTTCAATAGTGAAATCGTTCTAAGCGTCTATACTATTGGTTAGCCAATCCTTAAGGGTAGGTTTAAACCATCGAAGTACCTTCTCCTCGAGCCGCAAGGAGATAAATATGACTTTGGCGGATTCGTCTATAAACTTATCCGGGTAGTACTTAAGGTAGGCCCTTATAGATATAAGGAATCTAGCGAGTCCTTCTTTGTCGCCTTTATACTTAGGGGGTGCTTTAAGTTTGGCTTTATCCTTAGGCTTGCCGTTATAGGCCTCGTTAACAAGCTATTATATATGGCCGTTTTCGGCCTTAAGCTAGGCGATTTTGGCGTTGAGAGTCTCGAGAGCCTACTACATCTATCGTATGGTTGCGGCCTGGCTCTGGGATTCCAGGGTGCTAGGTGTCTAGGGCGCTATAATAGTCGGTAGTACCTTCGATCTAAACCGTGATAGAGTTAAAGGGAGTAAGCAACGTATGACGAAACTATAGGCAGTCCTGCCTCTGAAAGGGTTCGCCGGTCGAAGGTATTTACTAGTCGGACTATAGGTCTTGGTAAAGCCAAAGGGTTTATAATAATGCAAGTCGCAATGTCTGTATAGTAATATAGGGCTACCTTACTGCTTGTAATTGCTCACTGGAGAACTCCCAGAGTCCTCTAGAACGAGTATCTAGCTATCCTATATACTACGGCTCTTCCTATGGATTACGGCCTCCCTCTGGTGATCCCTTATACTGGATCACCTTGGATCACCAGTGATCCCTTGTGAGCCTTATACCTGGATCACCAAGCCTTCCCTATGCCAAGTGTGATCCTCTTCTGATTGGTCCGTTCCTGGACCGGAACGATTGGACGCAGGCGTCGCCCGCAGACCATGCAGGTCGGCCCCACCGGCCGCTGCAGGTTAATTCATGACATATTGACGCCTTGGATTACTGTCACCTATTCGCGGTTGCCAGGCTAGGCTAGCTTCGCCTTGCCACGGCCATCCGAGGTTGTAACTACTATACCCGGGAAGATAATGCCTATTATAAACCCAGTCTTATCGAAGTTATAGATATCATCATCTACAATGCTATACTTGGCCTTAATATTCCGTATAAGGGCAAACTATTCGCCAATAACCTTCGGATCCTTATACTTGGCCCTCTGGTAGTCGTATCTATACGTATAACACGTCCAGAGCTCTAGCTGGCGTTTGACAAAGTTATACGCCCAGAGCTTGCCGACAGGGGGCGCGTCGTATACGCGTAGTAGTTAGTTGGCCATATCTTCTATACCACGTAGTCTCGGCGGAAAAGCTCGCTTAGATAGCTCAATTATATACTGAACAAGAGCCTTCTCTTCGGAATCGGTAAGCCGGCGCGAGTTGGGCGTAGTGTCGCGTCGTGCAGGCCGGCCCGCTAGTCGGTCTTGTAAGGTTGTTCGTCGAACGTCGTAGTACTTCGCTGTAGCCCTTATGCTTAGTTTTTGGTCTTTTTGTATCGCTTCGAGGGCTAGGTTTATCCTAGCCTTGTACGAAGAAGAAGACATGTTAGGTTGTAAAGAAAATCTGGGTTTAAGCGCGGAAGTGACGCGTCGCGGGTAAAGTGGCCGGCTCGCTTATATGGCCGGCTCGCTTATAAGATACGTTATTAACAAACTCATTAAAGAGCCGTCATTTCTCTGCCGTACGTCCCTCTGCTCTCAGCTTCTCCATCAACTCCTTTGTCATCTCGCGCTGCTGGTCGCGATATACGGCGTAAGGACTGTCCTCAGCCGTCTCGTCAATGATCGCACCGACCTCTGCCATCAACCGCTCGCCCTCTGCCCGCCGACCCTGCATCCACACCGCCTGCGCAATCATCCGCCGCGCCCCGAGCGACTGCGGCGATTCCCTGCCGAGCTTGCTATCCAGCCAATCCCGCACGACTGTTTCCGTCCGTTCGGCCTCTTCGTACGCCCCCTTCTCCAGAAGCAGGCCTGACAGGCTGTGAAGATGCGAGAGATTGGACGAGTCCTTCCTCCGCTCGATCAGCATGCGCAGCGTCTGCTCCTCTGCGGCGAAGTCCCGGAGCTCGTGCTGGATGCCCGCGATCGCCAGCCAGGTCTTGTCCCAGGCCTGGTAGTCCACGTCGTAGAAAGACCGCGGGGCTGCGTCGGCATCCTTGCGGGCCAGTCGTTCGCGGAGGAGCTTGAGGAGCAGGCGCAGTTTGTCCGGCCTGCTCAGCGCGTTGCTATCCGCGTTGTCGTCGTCGTCGAGGGACGGCTGCTCGCCCGGCTCGAACAGGCTGAGAAAGTTGCGGCCCGCGGTATAGGGGAGGTCGTCCCAGAACTTGTTCTGTGGAACGGCGAACTCCCATGAGAAGTTGCGCGCGGCGCCAATGTCCTTGTTGCCCTGCGAATAGCGCACCCCTTGTTCCGGAGAATGAGCCATGAAGCGCGGCCTTGGCTAGGATTGGTAGTCGTGTGCTATTGACTAGTCCGGCAGAAAAGGGGAATGAGTGGCTGCTTCAAAACAGCCTGTGTTTCAACCGGCATTGAGGTATGCGTCTAATAGGCCCGGCCATCCGAGTAGGGTGACATATGCATACAGTACTAGGTAGATAGTAGGTAAGTTGGTAGCTTACAGTACAACATACATAAGGTATATACACTTCCAGGTTCCCTGTGTTAGGATCGCCGAATCCGCACTGGAACAATGTTGAAATGGCTCCTTCACACCTGCAGGCATGGTGTGGTTGCAAGTATGTTCTTAGTTATGGTATGTAAAGTATGGTTCTTGGTTAAATCTTCTCGAAATAGTCTCTCAGCTGTCGTAAGCTCGTGGCGCGGTCATTCCTCACAGGGTAGACTCAGCCATCCGACCTGAACGAATCCGGCGTTTCGGGGTGTACCGAACCCGTGATCACTTTAGGCACTACATCGGAGTGTATGCTAGTTGATAGGTGTCCGGATACGTTGCGATGATGCCTAAGAGCCATTGCAACGAAGCTTGAGTTTAAATGCTCGGTGAGGAGCAGCTGTTCTCAGCACGAAATCTCATTCATCGAGTTTGGATTGAAGTTCAAACCGGGTAGGTTGAAGTCTCTTGAGCTGAGCCTCGTGCAACCCGAACCCTTGCTCAAGTGGGCCCCGTGATTCCAGGGGTTCCAACCAAGCGACCGTTATAAGGGTGCACCTGGCTGCAGGGTTTCAGAAGGCCATGTTGCGTGAACCAGTGCTCGGTGCCCCTGCCAACCCCATGCCGAATTAATCGGGCAGGCAACCCCGCTGCGCCGCTCCTCCATGCGGAACGCCGTCCCAACTCTTCGTCTCGATTTCGACTGCCGCCGACTGGCCACCACCGACCGACTTGTTTTGCCAACAACATTGACAGTCGGCGATCGCACCCAGCAAGTCCTGGCGCCGAGATGGGCAACGTTAGCAGCGTCCCCGACGAGGGCGCGGCTCTCTATCTTAGAGATCAGAATCGCTGTAAGTACCTACCTTACTTTACCTTCTCCCCGCTGCCCGTGTGCGACTCGGAGCAGAGCGGCCGCAAAGTTTGCGCAATTGGATTATGCCACTTCCGTTTGCACATGCGCCTTCGAGTTCACACAATTCTGCACCAAGATGCTAACCCTCACTTGCAGTAACTATCTCATCCGCCGTCATAACTAGCCCAAAGAGGCGCACTTCACTAAACATCGCTCCGAATGCATTTCCGGCTACAAGAGTATCTGCATCGCGAGGCGCTGGTGACTCCGCTCCAGTCGAGTTTATCCTGGTGAGAACTACACTCGCGGCTGCCCGGCTACGCTGAAACAAGCGGTTTCCTGACGGTGACGTGATTACTGGGTAGGACGCCGAGCAAACTAGTTCCGGTACAGGCCCCGCCTTCCTGCTGAAGCTCTCCAACGAAGACGAGCTTGTCTTCACCTTTACATTCATCATTCGGCGGTCGCAACATGTTGTACAGAACCCAGCGAATGGCGCCGACGCTGTGGCCCCGGTCGACACCCAGATCAATGGTTTGACCTTTGTTTTTGCGTCGACACCGCGAGAGGTCGAAAACCTGGTGACTCGAGAGTTCCATGCCGACCCGAACCTCCACAAGAACCCAAATGTCTCCCTCGTTGGGACCTACTCGACCGATGGTAGCCCCTCAGTAACCTTCGACTGGACCTGGCGGTGGAAACCGCCCAAGAACAACGAGGACAGGGGCGGGGGTTGGAGGAATTCATGCAGTGTTCGTGCTCTCCAGATGCTTATGCTTGCGGTATGGCTGCTAAAAAAGTCCTTAGTTTGTTGAGTACGACCAGCGAGCCCATCGGCTGATTACCCTGGCCAGCTTCTCCTTCTATGTCACGAGTAAGTACCTGCAAGGCTACCAACCTATCGCACAAGTTGCTTATGACCTACAGACACATCCCCGTACCTCAGCCAACCTAACTCACCGACTCCCCCACTCTTGAGTGCTCCTCCCAAAGTCCGCGTCGTGTCTGCACAGTCGCTGGAGTCTCAGATCAGTACTATCCCGGAACATGAGGAGATCACTTCGCCTCAGCAGCCCAGCGTCGACCTGGCAAGTGGGCCGTTCTCCGCACCACAGGCTTTGAAAGAACCCATCAAGGTTGACGTGTCATGCCCTCGGCCAACAGAGGACATGTCCATGTCAGACGACGGGCCGGTCTTTCGAGCAACCATGAAGGCGCTCGAGCAGAAGACAGGCAACATGAGGATGCAGATGAAGAGGCTGATAAAGAAGGCTGAACACGTCTACCAGGCGCAGCAAGAGGCCAACGATGCGTTTGCCGGGTTCATGGATGCCCTGAAGGAAGTCTCGGCAACGAATGCAAATGCCGTACAACCTGCCATAGAGCATTACTTTGACAAGATTGCCCGCGAAATCCTGGCGTACGAGCGGCAGAACACGGCTAACCTGCAGAAGATCGTCATTGACCCGGTGAACAAGCTCTATCAGATGGATATCAAGCAAGCCGAGGCCAAAAAGCGCGACTTCGAAGAGGAGAGCAAGGAGTTTTATGCCTACGTCAGCCGGTACCTCGGCCAGCGCCACGACTCGGTCAAGGCGAAACAGAGCGATTCGAAGTACCAGACGAAGCGCAAGAACTTTGAGCTGAAGCGGTTCGACTACTCATCCTTCATGCAGGACTTATCTGGCGGCCGTAAAGAGCAGGAGATCTTGTCCCACCTCACCAGATACGCGGACGCCCAAGCTAGGTGTTTTCTGGGCACCGCGAAGAAAGTCGACGAGCTGCTCCCACAACTCGAAGCGCTGTCGACAGAAGTCCAGGAGGCCGATAAGGAGTACCAGTACCAACGGTGGGAGCGAGAGGAGAAGAGGCGGCTCCTTGAAAAAAGCAATCTACCTTATAGTGAACCCGAACCGCCTTCTACGGCATCAGGGCCTCCCCCACCTTTCGGCCATGCCAATGGCAATCAGCCCAACTCCTCGGATACCGAGATCGGCCGTGCGGACAGCACGGGTTCCCAACTGAAGCCGACTCGCTCGATAAATACGAGCAACTCGCCCAGCGCCGTCGATCTGAGCAGATCACCAGGGAGCCTGTCCCAACAGGGGTCCATTGGCAGCCCCGTGCAGAATTCCAAGTTCAAAGGCATTCGTGATCTGGAGGAGCGAGATCCTAGCCAAGCGGCACTCTCCGACAAAGAGGCACCAAACCGCAAAGAAGGCTTGCTTTGGGCCCTCAATCGCCCCGGAGGTCATGTAGACCCGCGTAGCTTGAACAAGCAAGGCTGGCATAAGTATGTGCCCAATATCTCTCCATCATGTTCGGCCAGCCACTGACTGAGTAACAGGTTTTGGATCGTTCTTGACCAAGGAAAGCTGTCCGAGTACAGCAACTGGAAGCAGAAGCTTGATCTCCACATGGAACCCATCGACTTGCGCCTTGCTTCGGTCCGGGAGGCCAGGAACGCGGATCGTCGGTTCTGCTTCGAAGTTATAACCCCGCAGTTTAAGCGTGTTTACCAAGCAACATCCGAAGAGGATATGAATAGCTGGATTATGGCTATCAACAACGCTCTGCAGAGCGCCGTTGAGGGTCGGGCGTTCAAAGAAAAGCCATCAACGGCTCATGGAGACTTGGGCTTCAATGGCGTGGACATCGGCTCCATGTTGGTCGGCAAGAGCTCGTCGGTCAGCCACGGCAGCCACAGCTCAAGCGCCATCCCCTTCCGACGGACGACTGTTGGCGCCCGGCCTAGCACGTCGCGCGGCAATAGCTTCGAGGATAGGCCCGACAAGCTACTGCAGATGTTGCGGGAAAACGACCAAGGAAACTGCTGGTGTGCTGACTGTGGTTCCAGTAACAAAGTCGAATGGGTCTCGCTCAACCTTGCAATTATTGTGTGCATCGAGTGCAGCGGCATCCACCGGTCATTGGGTACACATGTCAGTAAGATCCGATCCCTCACGCTCGACACGACCTCCTTCACGCCCGATATCATCGAGTTGCTTCTCCTCGTTGGAAATAGAGTCTCCAACATGGTGTTTGAAGCCAAGCTGGACCCGGCCATGAAGCTCACCCCGCAGGCGAATCGAGAGCAGCGCCTCAGGTTCATCACTGCCAAGTACGTCGATCGCGCATTCGTCGAGCCTATCTCGCCTACCTTGTCGAGGTTCGCCACGCCCGAGGAGACGCTCCTTGCCGGGATCAAGCGCAACGAGATCCAGCAGATCCTCTATGCCCTGGCCCTCCGAGCAAATCCCAACGCGGCCGACAAGTCCCGCGGAACGCACGCCATTTATCTGGCGCTTGCGGCAGCAGATCCTGCTCCGCCGTCGCCCATTCCACCGCAGGCGCTGGCTCCGCCAACCCCGACCGTCGACCGAGCGGTTCCCTTCCCCGTGGCCGAGTTCCTCATCCAAAATGGCGCCGAGATACCCGATTCTCTCCCGCAATTCCCGCTCAGCGCGGCCGCCCAAGCTTACATCGAGATGAAGCGCGGCCGGAAAGCCGCCATCGAGGCCTCGGGCTCGTACGACAGCTCCTCGGGCTCCCTCTCGTCCAGCGCCCCGCTGCAGAATGACAACAAGCACAGGGACGCCAGGCTACAGAAGAGGGTCAGCGCAGGCGGCAGGCTGGCCAAGACACCCATCCCGGAACGCTAGAGCGCGTTGGGCGTCGCGCTTGTCGCTTGTGGCGTGCCGTTTATGCGAGCGTCGCGCCAGAGGGGGTATTCCTCCGTGTGAAACAAACCCCCTGGTTTTGTTTCTTCTTTTCCTTTTTACCCTTCCTTGCACATGTATTTTCGCATCGATGATTTGTATTCACTGCTCCTGGACACAAACATTTTCCGATCAGGCAGTGGGTTATTCTATGGGGTTCTTCGACCAGTAATTCCCGTTCATGCTGTTGCTTTGTCTTCGTCCTGGTATGAGAATAAGAGAGAGAGAGAGAGAGAGAGAGAGAGAGAGAGAGAGAGAGAGAGAGAGAGAGAGAGAGAGAGTTGGACAGGAGGAAAACACGACATACTTTGCTTGCTTGTCCCAATAATAGGGACAGGAGAGGGACTGGACTGGATCATGCCGAGCTGATTGGGCTTGGATATGAGATTCCATTTCCTCAATACTCACGCACTATCTTGGGTGTTGGTCGTTGCAGGGGACTTTAATGTCGGAGTTGGCGTGCTTTTGCTCTTTTGTCCTTGTGCGAGATGGGTGGGAATCGCATTGATGGATCGGATGGGCTGGTAGGATGTTGAGGAGTTTGTGTGTATGGTATATGGGTCTGTTTGGAATGAAACCTGGCGGGCGCACAAGGATGGGGCGGATCGCATTGGACCAAAGGGTTTTCTTGTAAGGCATAATTCATAATGAATGAATAGGACGGGTTGTTCTGGTGTACTTGTACATACCTTAATATACCTGCTCCGTGAACTCCTAGGCGTGATGGATCGCTAATCAAGAGTCCGGTTCTGCCTTCTTTAAGAGTCGAAGAGTCACATGGGCTACTTCATACTAATCGTCTTTTTAACCATGACTGCCTACCTAGGTAGTAACCACGCTTCTCACGACCACAGCGAGGGAAGTGACATGTTTTCTATGGTAATATTTTCTATCTCCATCAACTAACACAGAAACCCGAAGTATGAACGAACAGAATTCGGCAAAGCCCCCATATCCCTAGCTGCGCAAGCAAGCAAGCATACATGCTTCAACCACCACCCCGAATTAACTCCCACGCGCAATAACAAACCAACATTATGAAGCCATATGCCAGTCTGTCATAGTATGCCCAAGTATCGCTGACATCCACTCCAGCACAGCATTTCAAGGCCTTGGATATTGCCTGGTCCATCTAATGAGCCCCCTTCCCTTTACCCTTGCCCTTCCCTTTTTGCTGCTCCGCTTCATGTTCCTCCGCCTTCCCTACCTCTTCCTCCTTCTCTCCCTCTTCCTCCTTCTCTCCATCAGTAACTGGCACTTCCTTCGCCTTGACAACAATATCCTGGCTGGGATACCGGCTACCCTCCCCACTCTCATCATACAACACTTGATCTCCCTTGCCACCTAACTCCATGAACTCGGCCGGATCCCGGTTCTCGTCGGGCCTCACCTCCTTCTTGTTAGGCGGCGGCATCCCCGCCGCCGGCTTCCCGACCGGGTTCTTGGAATACACCTTGACATCCGGCTTGCCGGCGCCTGCCGGCACTCGGTCGGTGACATGCACCGTGTTGATGGATGCGAGCAGGGTGCGTTCCCTGACGATCCCGCGGCGGCTCATCTCCAAACCGGCGATGCCCGAGACGAGTCCGTTAGTGCTGTCATTGACACCGGGAGGTTTCTGCGTCAGCCAGGGATGGGCCAGGCACTCGTCGACCGTGTAGCGCTGTTCGGGGTCCACGACGAGCATGCGGTCAATGAGATCAACTGCTGGTTATTAGCCAAGGGTGCGATGGAAAGTGGGGTTTGTGGGATTGCTTACGAGCTGGGTCGCCGACAGAGTCCCAGTACGGTGAAGGGTAGTCAAAGATCCCCTTACGGATCTGATCCGCCAAACTGTAGGGAAAGTCCGGAGTCTTTAATTCATCCGAAAACGGAGGGAAGCCGCAGAGACAGATGTAAAGCACCACGCCCAGGGACCAGATGTCGACGGCTTTGGTGTACTTGCGATTTCTGCTCTCGGCCAGAACCTCGGGCGCTACGTAGCTTGGCGTGCCACAGAGTGTGGTGGTGAAAGAGGCCTCCCCAACGATCTTGGCGAGACCGAAGTCGCCGATCTTGACGGTAAAATCCTCGTCCATGAGGAGGATGTTCTCGGGTTTGAGATCTCGATGAACCATGTTGCGATCGTGCTGTAAAACATGTCAGCGTGGGCCAGCGCGCTGGGCAGAAGGGATAAGAATCCGTGCTTACCAAATACTTGATTCCTTCAAAGAGCTGGACAAACACCCTGCGCGTCTGGTCCTCAGTCAACTTCTGCAGCTGAACGATGAGATTGAAAAGCTCCCCGTTCGGCGCCAGTTCCAGCACAACATATACCGCCTCGGGCTCGTTGAATGTCTCCCTTAGGCACAGGATGTTTGGGTGGCTGATGCCCATGAGCATAGCGACTTCCTGGTGCAGGCCCTCGTACTTGGACCGTTCGTCCGTGCCGGGGACCTTGGTGAACTTCTTGACGGCATAGCAGTCGCCTGTCGACCGCTCGTGGCACATGTACACCTGAGCAAAGTGGCCGCTTCCCAGTCGACGCATTACTGTATACTGCTGAGCGAAGCTTCTGCCTTGCCGGTACCTTGGGTATCTGAAGATGAAGCCCGGGCTGAACTGAGTGACTGCAACCTCATCACCCTCCTGCAGTTCCCGCCGCTCATTCCGCTTCAGATAAGCAGAATTGACGAATGTCCCGTTGGTCGAGAGATCTTCCACTACTGCGATGACATCCTCGCCCTTGTTTTCGGTAAAGATGAGACAGTGGCGGTTCGATACCTGCGGGTCATCCACCCTGATGTCTACGCAAGTTAGAACCAGTGCCTCGCAAGAACGCCTCATTCTTCTCTTCCGAAGACCTACCGCTTTCGGGATGCCGTCCGATGATATATCCCCCGGAAGCCGGGCCGGCCCTCGAGTCCACGTCCTTCGACGATGGCTTTTGACCCCTTCTACTGCTCTTCCTGGCGGGCGCAGTGATCGATGCTGCGGGGGGCGGGCATGCTCCCTTCCTCTTCAGCACCACCGGCACTTTCACGTAGCGCGTGTCCAGTGGGAGGAGATACCCCCAAACGCCTTCCTTGACCTCATCGACGCCCTCGACAAGGGGGGCGTTCGGGTCGATGTCTTGCTGGCTAAACGCCTGCGTGTCCTGCGGCGGAGAGCTGAAACCCAAGCCCTGCGAGTCGTCCCCTCGGCGGCGGGCAACTTGGCTGGGACGGTCGTGGGGAGGTGTTGCCGTTGCCTCCTTGTCGTACTCAGTGGTGCTCTCGCTGTTGAGGTGCGTCACTGGCGAGGGGAGGTGATGTTGGTTCTGTACTGGCGTCTTTTGCTTGTCATGCTCGGCGCGCTGCTGCGATTGCCGCGCGGAACGGCGCAGCTTCTTGGACGATTCTTGATCCTCGGCCGGTGAGCCCTGCATGCAAAACATTAATCGGCGGAGCATGCCTGGAGGGTACTGCGCCATCGGGGACAGGTGCCAAAGGCTTGCAAGGGAAAATCAACGAGTAGGCACCTACAGCATCGCGGTTTCTCTTAAGGTGGCTGCCTTCAGCTCGTGGAGCCATGGTGCTGGAGCCTGGGATGACCAAGGCTCGTTCTGACCGGTGGCTACCGTCAAGCTCAAGATGGAACAACGCAAATGACCAATTCCTGAACTGTGCAGACAAGTGGATGGGTGACAGGGGGGGAGGAATGGGAATGGGTTGGGTGGTGGCTTGTAGGCTTTTTGATTGCTTGAAACTGAGCGAGGCCTCTTGGAGAGAGCGCTCGCACTCATCAGGTTTGTCAATCGGCCGGGCGCGGTCCTTCGTGGATGCCCCTGTCCCGTCACCTGCACCCGCTGAGCCGGGGATAAGCACGGGCCTACCAATGATCCGCTGCGCTGAAGTTAGGCGAGTGTCCCGCCTTGCATGGATTCAATATTGAGTGTGGTAGGGCTGGACCGCGGGAGCGAAAGGCATGACTGACCGCGGGGGTCAAATGGCCTGCCCCAGATTGCGTGATGTGACTCTTTACAGTCGCCGCCAGAAGGATGATGTTTGCATCATCATGATAGGTAAGGTGTTGGATCTACCAAGCATGTCCCAGACACCGAGGGCAACATGGACATCGGTGGAATGACGCGGTGTCGCCTTCCACTGCCGCCCTCCTGACGGGACTCACCCTGCCAGGGGACTGTTTGGCTTTTGAGGAAACACTTTACAAGCTATGGTGAATAACAACCAAGCTCTATCAGCACTCCCTTCATGCGCTGTTGGCTCATCAGCTACAGCAGATCGATTGCAGTGGCCATGTAGTTCCGACATAGCTCACTGCCACCAGCTCCGCTCCCCCAACATCACCGATCCATGTTACATCGCGATGATAGTGGCCTGCTCGACGGGTGACCTATTTTCCGAGGTCTTCTCCGGTCTGCGAACAAACTACTGTGTAGAGGTGCTATCAGGTCTAGACTTGTAATAAGCAGAGATACCTAAACTAAACAAACAGCCCTCGCTATATGCTGGGCTGCACTTTGGGTTCTCTCGGTAGCGTTGAGTGGCTAGGTAGGTAAGCAAGGTATGATACCGTGGGAAGAAATTGAAGGGAAAAAGAAACGGTTCCTCCGGTAGTTGAACCTTTTTTCAGTTCTTCCGGTTTGCAGGAACATGAAGTTCAATGATACCTTGCAGCTTGGAGCTCCAGGTTTTACGTTGTGGATTGCATCACGACTGTCAAGGTTCTGCGGGCCAGGAGCTCAACGGGGGATTGAAGCAGCCTTGTCTCCATTTTGTGCATTCCTCGGTCAGAGGCACTGGGTTGTTTTCGGTGGGCATCGTGAACCAAAGTGCTGAAGCTCTTTGGAGTTGAGATGGAGGGGTACGGTGCCTGGGCCCTGGGTGTGCATAACTGTGTACATTGAGAGAGTGCCAAGCTGCCCCACTTTACCGAACCTTCACCCACGAAAACTCGCTTAATTATCCGTCTTTCGCTTAGCGCCGTTTCCACGGTTTTCACGTGACCGCTTACCGCACAGAACACCACGGCCTGTGGAAAAAATGGCGTCGGATGCGGGGCAGGGAATTCCTGCGATTCCAGGTGCAGAGGCGGCGGAAACAAAGAAACCCGTCCCTCCAACTCGTTTCCAGCTCCCACCGGGTCCTCGTACGCCCTACGAGCTCGTTGACAGTTTCTCCCCTTGGGATTATCCACCGGCGATTGCGAAGAGTCCAAAGGGTACCGACCTTCCCGAGAGCGACCCAGCGCCGTATCGCGAGCGATCCTCCAGTCTCGATCCGTACTTGGCTGTCGAGAATTCCGAGTACACCGAGGAGCTCATCAGCGGTGCGACCGAGTTTCTAGAATTCTTCGGTCGAAAGGCAATTCGAGATACCCCGATATTCACGATGGCGACCCCTCAGCTGCTTTTCGTTGACGGCACCTTCGCCGAGCTGGCGCAGGAAATGGCCGATTACATCCAGGTCGGTGACCAAGTCAAGCCGTACCTCGACAAGGAGGAGAACGAGGAGGCACTCCAGATTATCGTCAAGGCTTCGGGTTTTCTCAATTCGGCCCCCGAGAAAGATTTCACAGGCGCCTACAACCTCCTGATCCATCTGGTCCTGCAGTCCAAGGATCCCGTCAAATTACTGCCCGCTGTGTGCGGTAATCTTATGAAGCCGATTACCTCGTCTCCGGCCCACAGCTTCACCCTTGCCGCTAATGCGCTCAGTACCATTTTCAACCTCATTGAGCCGCGCAATCCCCTGCGCTTCAATGTTTTGATGCAGATCATTCGGTTTGTTCGGCAGCACGGTCAGTTCGACGTGCTCAAGCCGCGGTTAAAGAATCTGGAGGGTTGGTTTGCCGAATGGGAGACGGATGCTGAGCAGCAACGCAACCTCTATGTTCAAGTGTCGGAGACTGCCGCGGATGCCGGCGACGATGAGTGAGTAACGCCTTGGGCGGACGGAGTCGGTCAAATCCTGACGTTAAATGTTCGCAGGGAAGCATACCACTACCTCATCAAGGCTCTCCGTACCCTCGACCGCGAAGAGCAAGAGGAAATCACTTCTGAGGAGGCCCAAGAGCTCTCCCTTAGAGCGGTCCGCATGGCGATTTCGTCCCCTATACGGTTCGACTTCCAGGACCTGCGCGCTCTCCCCAGCGTACACGCGCTTAGCGACTCGCACCCGGTCTACTCGCAGCTGCTCGACATTTTCACCGAGCAGGATCTCGAGGACTACAACGACTTCAATGACGAGCACGAGGGCTGGATCGAGAAAGAGAAGCTTGACCACGAGAAGCTGCAGCGCAAGATGCGTCTGCTCACATTCGCCAGCCTCGCAGCCAGCACGCCCAACCGCGAGATTCCCTATGCCAACATTGCCAAGGCGCTGCAGATCCCCCGCGAGGAGGTCGAGATGTGGACCATCGATGTGATCCGGTCCAAGTTAGTCGAGGGCAGATTGTCGCAACAGCAAAAAGTCTTCTTGGTGCATCGGACAACCTACCGCGTTTTTGGCGAGAAGCAGTGGCGCGAGCTGGGAACCAGAATCGACCAGTACAAGTCGATCGTTGAGCGGCTCACTGCGGTTGTGCGCAAGGCACAGGCCGACGTGGAGGCCCAGCGCGAGCGGGAGCAGCAGGAGCTGGAGCGGAAGCTCGCCAATGCTGGCATTAGTGGTGGTCAGGGCGGCGATCGCCGTCGCCAGCCGAGGCAGCGTACGGATGAGGATGACTGAGCGGTGAACGTCTTGAGAGGTTCGGGACAGGTTCATTGCAATCTACTGCTAGATTTGGTTTGGCGTTGAGAGAGCCAAAAAGGGCGGACGATACCTTAGACACTCTATGGGTGCTCCTTTGTATCACTGGAGCCGACTTCCAGGGCGATAAATATTCGCTGACTAAAATGGTTGGGTCTTGCACAATCGGAGCGGACAGGTATCAGGAATGGGTCATGCATGATTTGCAGGCAATTGTGTGGATTACTACTAGGCATCAGGGAAAGAAGTGCTTCCCTGTCTCGGGACGTGGCACTGTTGCTACTGGAGAAGTTTAACAGTAGAAAATCAAACAGTCCACGAGAGATAACGAAACTAAAAAGCCAGAGAGGTCTCTCTCCACTTGTACAGGGAAATGGTGTTGATGTCTGTGAGAACTGAGGAGGAAATCAGCGCAACTCCTCCGCTCCATGCCCGCCCAGTCTAATAAGTCTATATACTAGCAAACCAAAGATCTTTGGCGAAGGTAAATGCCACGTAGTGCAGAGCTCACGGTGGTGCGAGTCTAAAACTTGTCCCCCAGAGCCTTCTTCAGCTGCACCTGAGTGTCCGCATACACCTGGTCGGGAGGCGGGGTCGAGATGACCTTGACCACGCGGTTCTCGGCCTCGTAGTGGTGGACCACGGGCATGCTGGTCTCGACAAAGGTACGGAAGCGCTTGCGGATGCTCTCGGCGTTGTCGTCGGCGCGGCCGCTCGTCTTGCCCCGCTCCAGCAGGCGCTTCTCCATCTCGGCCTCCGGGCAGTCGTAGAAGAGCACCAGCTTGGCCGGGCACACCACCTCCTCGAACTTGAGCGCCTGGTCCATCTTGCGCGGGAAGCCGTCGATCAGGAACTTCTTGTTGCCCGTGCGCGTGATGGTGTCGCGCATCGCGTTCTCCAGCAGCGCGATCGTTACCTCCATCGGCACGATCTCGCCGTTCTTGATGCAGTCCTTGATCAGCTGGCCGTACTGCGACCCGGGCCGGTCCTGCTCCTCCCGCAGCAGGTCGCCCGCCGAGAGGTGCGTGAACTGGTAGTCGCGCACCAGCCGCGCGCATTGCGTACCCTTCCCGGCGCCGGGACCGCCGAGCACGAAGAGGACTGTTACCTCGGAGGGGGAGAAGGCGGGGGTGGTTTGTGTGGTGGGAGGCATGGCTGGGATGGACTGTTAGTTCTGTTGGTCTTTGGTGGGGGGCAACGAGAAGGCCGACAGGCTGGGGGGAAAGGGTCCAAAGCGGCGCATGGGAGGATGCGGCAGTTGTATGTAATCGCGCATCTGCTTCCCTACACGTGTGCCCCAACGCGCCGCACCTGTCTCCAGCCTTTAAACCCCTCCCTGTCGCCTTACCACCTCGAGGGAATCCATGGCAACTCACTTTTCCGCCTGTTGATCAAGAGCATGTAACCTCCTGAGCCCAGCGCAATGAGGACCACGAACGGCCAGAACTTGATCTGGCTGTTGCTACTCCTCGGAGGCGGGGTCTGCTGTCCTCCTTGCGAGCCGGAGCTGTACGACCGTTGCGCGAGCGGCTGCTGGCGAAGAAGCGAGGAGGGAGTGGTTCGTGTCGTTGAAGAAGTTTGCCGTTGGAATGCCAATCGGTACGGTTGCTGCTGTCGTAGCAGCTTCGAAGGTGTCGCAGCGGGCCCGCGGCAGCTGTTGCGCATCAGCTGCCGCCAGGCTTGGCGCCCGCAAGCAGTTGCAGCCATTGTTCGTTCTGTTGGCGTTTGCACTCGCTAGTACTAGTAGCGTATGCACGATGACGCAGGCCAGCTGTGGCTCGATTGGTTCTCCCAGTGTTCCGATCACGGTCGATTTGTCTTCTTCGCCAGCAGTTCGACTCGGACGACCCTACTGTTGTTGTTGATTCCAGGGGCTGAATGGGGAGATAAATTTGAGAGAAATGCTAGTGTCGCATCACCGTCATCTCATCTTGGCTGCGACCAGGGTGTAATTTAAAGCCCCTGGCCACGACCCCGGTCTCTCAATAATCCAACGGCCCCACAATGCCCGTCTTACAACGTCTCGAGGGAGTGTATCCGTATTCCGTAGTGTAAGTGAGGACATCAAGGCTGATCGAGCCTTGTACTGTCGAGCAAGTCCTTGATCCGTCACCCTTGGGGTGAGGTGTTATCTATATCCTCCAGCTATGTGCGGCAGAGGGGCACGGGATAGGTCCTCGGGGGATTTGCTGCCTCTGAAGATCGAGATCCATGCCTCCATTCTCCTTCTCACCTCCGGCAGTGTCACCTTTCACACAATACAGTGTTCACTTAGAGCATTGTACCATCTGGGATGACAGGTAGATAGAATCAGTTAGTCTGCGCAGCCAACTTCATACACTCATTATCTCCTGCCAGTGCCTCCAACGGGTCAGTTAACTCGGAAGTAACCCAACCAACAAATGCTCCACGGCCAAGAGCCCGTCAACAGCTCCCTCACACTCAAGGAGCATCAGGCAACTGCCTAGGGCAAGTTATATGGAATCCTATGCTTTCCCGTCCCCTTCGCTCTCCTTATTTACTTCACATATCGCTTCATAGTGTCATCACGGTGGTCCTACGCATCCTTGCCCTGACCGGCTATCTCATCATCGACAGTGAGGACGAGTATTGGGCGGGCGAACTTGGTCGTAGACGGGGTTGTGAAGGTTCCTTGTTGGAGTAGGAAGGATGTTGGATCCTGCGAGTGGTCGTCGGCTGAACTTTGTACTTCGTGTCCGTAGGTCCAAGAAGGATGTAAGGGCCTCTCGGAAGATCGGAGCAGATAGCCCGTGGTGGGCTATTGTGGCTGACCGTTTACTGCTGGGGTGGCTGGGGTAGAGAAGCAGGCTACCTTTATACACCTTGCTTCAGGCAAGACGAATCTTATAGGATGGATGCTGAGAGCATTCATTGAAAGTAAGGAATTCCGGCCCTGGGGTGATGACTCCCATAAAAACATCATGCCGTCTCACCGAAACCGCGTTTCACCATTTGTGGTTTCTCTCCATCAGCTTGACCACCGTATCGATTGAGGCAGAGAGGTGATCTTTCTTCAAGCGATATTTTTCAGGTAGAATCTGGTGAAACTCCAAAACCATGCCCCATATCCTCCAATACGGCATCTGAACTTCATCGCGGAGAGTCAAGGTGAACATTGATGTTGGTGCCCAAAACGCCATAACGCACTGTGATCATTGCTGAATATCAAGCTGAGCATACGGGGAGCTAGCAGCGCTTGATAGTCGACACGACCAGGGAATGGGAACGCTGACCGGGAGGAGAATGGTCACAGATGACTCCTTTGCATTACGGACTCACCAAGTCAGAATCCAACCTTGTCAGGATGGGGACAGCGTCAGCGGACACACGCAGTGCCTGTAAAAAGGCAGAGTTAAGCCAAGCACATTTGAGTAGTGAGTGGAATCCAGTTGACCGACCAAAGGGCATTTGTCATTTGAGAAAGCTCAGCATCTGTCTTCAGACTTTCGTCCACCATATCATCATCCACCCACCACGCCTCAGGAGCCATCATCTGCGACTCGGCCTAGCTCTACATATACGCATTCCCAGTCCCATCACACCCATTAGAGAAGATATTTAGTGCCCCCATCCAAGAAGTCCCAGCCCACTTTGGTATTCGCCCACAACGCCCCAGGGATGTCCAGTGAGTCCAAGAAAATAAGTCAACAAAAAGGTGGTGAAAGCCAGCAGCCTACACGCAGATAAGAAACGAATAATTGCGAACGAGTGTGACGCGCTTATGCAATACACGCCCAGCTTTCTTTGCGGGCGTAATTAATGGAAGGTTGTCCGCACCGGCGGCGGGCTCTTGATGGCCTGACCGGCATACGCCCCGGGAATCGGGACAGCCTCGTATTGTTGCTCGCCCTCGGCCATCGGCGCAGGCTCGTTGAACTTTACAGCAGTTGCTGCAAGGTCAGGAGCCACGGTGGTTGTTGGCGACAGGTCGGCCGCGGTAGGCGGCTTGTATCCGGCCTTGGGAGTCGCGGGAGTGGCTGGGTTGGCCTTGGTAGGCGGAGCCTGGAGCTTGAAGGAGCTCTGCTTGGCGGTGAACGTGGACTGCGGGATGATGAGTCCCTTACCACCCGGGGTGAAGGGCGACGCGTTATCCTCCTCGATGTCGCCAAGTGACTTGTAGGTGGACGGCGGGAAGCGCGGGGAGAGGGCATACTGGGAAAAGGCGGGCGACTTGGGACCAAAGCCGGGGGTGTTCGGCGCCGATTGGGTGCGCAGCTGGGCGAGGTAGAGGTCGGAGCGGGCCTTGTCGCGCATGTCCATGGACTTGTGCAGCTTGCGCTTGGACCAGTACCGGTAAAAGATCACGCTGTAGAGCGAGATGCTGATGATCTCGACTACCAGCTCGATGATGATGCAGATTAAAGCCCAGTCCTGCAGGCGGCAGATGAGGGCGTAGTCGACCTTATCGCCAAAAAGCTGGGACCGCTTATTTTCGACACACGCCCAGCCCCAGATGTCCTGGTTGTTGCTGTTGTTCCGCGAGACCTGCAGGATGCCGGCGGCCGCTGCCCACATGGCCATGCTGAAGATGAACCAGCCGACGGCGAACAGTGTGTAGTAAACGCCAACCTTCTCGGCCCTGCGGTGTCCACCGCGGCAGTAGCCGATGAAGACGCCGATGCAGATGAGCAGCGACACACAAGAGCAGGCGAGAACCACCTTTTGCGGCCACGCGTTGGTGTTGTGAGCCCACGCTGGGAACCCGCTCATGGCCGGCAAAGCCTTGGTGGCGTTGAAAATGGAAAAGGAGGCCGAAATCATGGCCAGGATGATGAGACTACAGCTGAAGTTCACCCCACGCAGAGCGAACTTGGCCAACCGTACCCGTGTCTTGATTTTCTGCCCCAGTGTTAGACCAAGCTATGCGGGTCGTGATTGAAGCTGGGGGCTTACCAGATCCCTAGCCTGCTCCTTCTCCGTCATCTTCTCCCTCTTCTCCAACACTTGCTCCTCTAAAAACGTTGGGCTCATGGGGTTTTGAAGCGCGCGGCCTGGCGTCCCCGGCACCTTCATGGCGCTCTTCAACGGTGACCTTGGTGTCATGGGCACAGCGATCGATTCCCTGTTCGCTCCCGCTCCGATATAGCCAAAGCCGACATCCCCTGGTTGGGCCTGAGCAATCTCTGACTTCTCTGAAAATGGGAGCTTTCGTGGCTCGATGGGCGAGTGGACGGCGGTTGCCTCGGCGAACCGCGGTGTTCTTGGGGGCTTGGCTAGTGATGATGATGTGGAATCTGAATCTGTGGTGGAAACTGAGCTGGCGGACATGGTGCGGGCAGGCGTGAGGTTCAGGGCCAGTGGCCGCTTCTTCTCGTCGAGACCCATGGTGGTCGGGGACAGCGGCTTCGGCAACGCTGCCAGTCGTTCTTTATTGCTTTGTTGCTGTGTAAAGCCTATATGGAAAGAAGAAACGAATGAAGAACCAGTCTTCACTTCTTCAAGCAGCAGCGTCGCACAGCAGGACAGTCACAAGAAGGGATGCTGAGACCTGTGGCAACCTAACTTGGGCGGCGGGAGAAGGGAACTGAGAGAAGAGTCCGTAGATATGAGTCCAGCTGCCAGAGTAAGAGAAAATCCCGGAAGGGGCGCCCCTTCTGGGGGGCCCTATGGTTTTGAATAACCGCTGTCCGAGTTGCATGCACACCACACCCGGGTTGAGCGGGATCCCTTGCTGCATGGGATAGTGAGTGAATGGTTCGATGGGTGCGATGGAAGCATTGGGGGAGACACACACTTACACCAAGCAGGGGGGGCTGAGGTCCCGCTGGAAAGACCGACACGCTGATAGGGCGGGTACTTGATGTGCCAATAATGCTCGGCGACTCGCGATGGGCAGTTAGACGCCCAGCGGGGTCGAGAGGTGTCCTAGACGGCTGCTGGTCGGTGCTCGGCGGCCACAGAAGCGACCTCGAGCTGCAGATTCCGGTTACGAGAGGTCGGATGCAGGAACGAAAAGCACTCAGTCTCAGTCTGCTGCGTTGTGTGTCTCGGCGATCGAGTTTCGTCGAGTCCAAGAGGGACAATGGGGACAATGAAGCATGAGCTGAAGATCTCGAAGCAGCAAGACGTTCTAGCGCAGACAACAAGTGGGAGGGTCCGACGAGGGTAGGAGGTTTCTAAACATATCTCGAAGGGAGGGGCTGGACTCTCACGCGAGCGGGCAGGCTCTCATGCACAACAGGCCGTGGGTGACGGTGCCGAAGGTCTTGCATATTGCAGTATACAGGGGGCACAGTCGCTGTCGGGATCTTTTCAACGGTGAAAGCCAGCCGGCTGAGCATGGCGGTGCCTTGTGTCTCGGCGTTCGTTGTGCCTCGACCATGTGAAGGACAACATCATATGTTGGTAGCCCCATTCCTCTCTTCAACCACAGCTCCCATTGATCTTTGGTGCTCTGCGCGGCCGCCATGATGGACGACTGTCACTGCTGTGTGCGGCCGCACGCCGTTTCTCCCCTCGGAACATTAGCGCCCATTGTCGTCGCAACGCGGCACTCGCACAATGCAAGAGTGCCGAACCTATTGGTCGAGGGCGGTTGGAATTCAGGGCCAGTTCTGTCGAATCGGACGGCGAGGTCGGCCGCAGGAAGCGACGGCAGGAACCGCCAAGCTGATGACGGGTGCGGAGAGAGGGGCAGAGAGACCTCGTTGGGCGGCAAGAGCAAGCGGCCCTTACCACCCTGTCACCATCGGCCATCCAACCTACCAATGATCGTCGCCCGCTCCATGGGCTCCGGCTGGGCGTCGAAACACGCCGCCAATCAGAGTGCAGATCGACGTGATAGAGCTGCCGGTCATGCAGGTGGGCGGTAAACGTCCCCACAGCAGCCGACCTCTCTCGCCTCTTCCCTTGCCGAACAGCAGCTGGGCTTATCGAGCGGGTTGATGTCCGAAGAACATTGTGAAGTCGAACCTGAGCCACCGGGAACACACACCTTCCGAAGCGTCGTACCGGGCAAAGCAAAATCTTCTCCGTCGGTTGCTGACTCAGCATGCCCGGCCGACTGCTTGTCCGAGGTTTTGCCTGCCGCGATCCCGTTCGCGTTCTCGGACAATTGCCGCCTCTATAACGACCACAAACGGCGCCGGCGACAGGGGCCGGAAGGAGTCACCCATTCTACTTCGTTCACACCCATCGAGCCTTCCGGAACGCCTCCTACATATTCGCAATAGAGAAGATGGTACATTATTAACGCTAGGATCCCGTCCTATATCGGTATATACAAGGTAGAATATTAGCGCGCGAGTTGTTCAGGGTTGTCGCCATGGATATAAGGTGCTCGCTTACATTATCGGAAACTCTCTTCTCCCTTTTTCATTATTCTTTCTACTGCTAATGTACCTCTTAGCTCTAGCTTACTATAATAATGCAATAATAGTTACGTTTCTCTAAAATAGACCGTGAAAATATTGATATACTCTTTTAAAAATATTTTAATAGAGCTATAAAGAAGGAAGATAATAAAGAGCTCTTTATTAATCTAGATATATATGATGGTAGAACTTACCGTACTATGGCATAAGTCATTACTTAGTCATATTCCCAGCTTGCAGTCTATATATATATGATTAGTCAACCTAATTGGTACTCCATCTTCTATATCTAAGTATATGCCCCATATCCTATATTTAGATTTCTTCACACCTTGCAGTCTTTGAGGATCCCTTTTCTCCTACAAGTTCAGTATTTTTATAATATAGTCAGTTGCCTACTAGAGCCTTGAGCCTAGCCTGTAATGATAGTCATTATAATACTATTTATAATACTTAATTTTATTAAACTAAGCTTGAAAAAAGGAGAGTAAAAGGTTTTAGATAGTTGATCTAGAATTATATAAAGATATTTCCTAATTTATAGGTTATATAACCTATACTCTACTTTATCTATTATACTAGGAAGATTATAAATTCAACTCCTAGCTAGGACAGTACCTATACTAACTATAATATCTAGCGCTTATAAATAAAATTATAGTAAGCTTTACTAATATAATTAGCTATTATAATAATATATATATATTCTCCTACTCTGCTATGCCTAGCTATTTATAAGGCGCGCTGGACTCTCTACTGCTATGTACAAAGGAAAAACCGTACCGTTTAGGCTGGGTGAAAACCTTCATCAAAAATAATAGGAAAGACATGGTTCCAGTGATACACGCTGCTGCAAGTAAAGAAAAAGGCCTTGGGAAGGCCTTGGGCCAACGGCTAGTAGGGTGCTAGCCCAGCTAAGCTGTGGCCACGGGTGTGGTTAGCCGAGCTCCCTAGCTTCCAGTTCCTAATCTAAGTTCTAGGCGAGCCTGTATTCCCCTAGCCGGCCCGAGTCCATTAGCCAACCCAGTACCTTCTTCAGAAGTCTTCGGTTCCGGTAGCCTAGGCCCTATAAAATAAGGCTAAGGTCCTGGTGGGTGCGTATTAGTTGCCTAGGCCAAGTTCTTGGTATAGGTGGTATAGAGCACCAAATTACGAGATGCTCCACTGTCTCTCAGGCTTCTCCGCATTCGCAATAAGGGGTAGGCTGGTTATGGGCCTTTTGTTTGAAAAGAAAGTCCTGTAGGCCTATAGCTCCTGTACGAGCCTGTACTAGTAGGGAGCTCTTAGCCTTTATAAGGCCTTGGTGTTTCCGTAAGCTCTGGTTCATAAAGAGGACTATTGGTAAGCCTTCATCAGCTAGCCTAGTTAGCTGTCTCTAGACTTGGTCTTCCATCTAGCCTCTCAGGCTCTTAATAGTGCCCAGTCATCCTGGGTCTTAGCTAATGGTGGGCCCAAGGCCTTGGCCTCGGCATTCCATTTGGCCACTATAGCCGATGCCTTTTCGGTATCTGTTGGCTTTTCTAGGCTCTAGGGCCAGCCCCGTAGCGACCAGAACCTTCGTTTAAGCTTGTTGTAGGCCCCTTGGATGATTTCCTTTGGTGGGCATCTTAGGGCCTCCGGGCCTAGCTTGGCCTATAGGGTAGGCTTGTTGAGCCGGTCTTCGAAGTTGGCCAGCCTCTTGTTAAGGTAAAGGTCTAGGGGAGGGATCCAAGTTTCCGTCTCAAGATTCCATATAGGGGTAGCCTTATAGGCCCCAGCTACGATGCGTAGGCTTCGGTTCTGGGCCTTTGCTAGGTCCCTAGCTAGGCCTTGTGGTGAGCCATTGAGTGTTGTAGGCTTGTGGAAGCTAGATGCCCCATAGGCTATTGCACTGCGAATGCACTTAGTATAGACCTCTCTGGCCTTGATTAGCCCCAAGCCCCAGGTCTTGGCTGCTATCCTTGATAGAGCAAAGTCTTAGGTTCTTAGCTTGGTAGCTATACTAGCTCCATGGGCCTTCCAAGAAAGCCTCCAGTCAAGCCAGACCCCTAGGAACCGAGCTGAAGCCGTTAGTTTGACTATAGTATAGTCATAAGGGTGGCCGGGTTTGGCTAGTTGTAGTGGTTCGGACCACTGTTTTTGGCCTTTGTTGAAGTAGATCAGCTCTGACTTGGCCCCATTAAATTCCATTCCGTAGGATCTAGCCCACTGTAGACACGTGGCTTAGGCTTGTTCCAGTTGCTGGCAGTTAATATAGGGGTCCCTTCCAAAGGCTAGGAGGTTGGTGTCATCTGCGAATCCCACTAAGCTAACCAAAGAATGCTTTTCCTTTAGTACTTTATATAGCGAGGCTATATATAGTATAAAGAGGACTGGTGATAGTAGTGATCCTTGTGGCACTCCAGCTCGAATGTTGATTTCCGGGGCAAGTTAGCCGTCGAATAGGAGTGTGGCTTTCCGGCCCGTTAGCCACGACTGTAGCCAACCTACAAGCTATGGTGTGACGAAACCACAGGCAGTCCTGCCTCTGAAAGGGTTCGCCGGTCGAAGGTATCTGCTGGTCGGACTGTAGGTCTCGGTGAAGCCAAAAGGTTCACAATAATGCAAGTCGCAATGTCTGCACAGTAATGTAGGGCTACCTTACTGCTTGTATTGCTTACTGGAGGACTCCCAGAGCCCTCCGTAACGAATGACTATATACTAGCTATTTTCCTGTGGACGCCTGCGCTCGCCGTCGTCCTCGAGCGTCCATGGTCGCTAGTGCTCGCCAGCGTCCCCGGGCGTCCATGTAGGGCGTCCTACTGCCTCATGCTTCCCGATTAGTGACCTTATCACCTGTATGGCCCTACTAGGTCGGGTTATATGGTTGGTTTGTAATACGATGCCCCTCCTCGACGTCTTTCGCCCTGAAAGACCTTGGCTGTTATTGTGTTTCCTTTTAGCACTAATTGCCCCCTTGATTTGGTTCCCTGGTAAGTTATCATTCTTCTTCCTTCACTATTGCTATAGCTGATATAGTGGCGGCTAGGCCCTATTGAAACCGTGCCTTTGAATATCGTATTGCTATAATAGCAATTGAGCGTGACGGTGAGGAGTCCGGTATACCTTATGAACGTTGTTGGAACATAAAGCCGTATAGGCGTTATATTATAGTGCCTGGTTCCAATAAGTATTCCTTTTGCGTTCGTATAGGGAAGAAGTGCAGTGGTCCTAGCGTTATGAACGCTTGTAGGTACCCTCCTTGTCTATGCTTGCTAGGCCCTTCCTAATAGAATAGTGGTAGTAAACTTATCGGCTCGCGACAAGATTGATAAAGCGATTATAGATGCTGAACATTAGCTTGCTAAGGCGTTGAGCTGTCTTTCCCGTCTTCGATAATAATACTAACACCTGGCGGAGACCGGCTTATTGTTGCTGGCTTATAGACTAAAGGGTTTAGAAAAGGACGGGCCTCCTTCCCCGGAACCGATGTCGGAGGAGCAGCAACTTATTGGTCAGGTGCAGGCCTTAGGTGCCTTTGGTATGGTTGACTAGGAGGCTACTAGTGTTATTCCTTATAGGTCTGGTGTTTCGTCAGGGCCCCTTGATTTTAACACGCTCCTATAGTCTAGGGATTCTCCTCCTGCTGTTGACGAGGTTCGAGGTAGTGCGGGTTCGTAGCCGGTGGCGGTCAGGTCTTGGTCGCGCCTGCTATACGTGTCGTGTTATGGCGTGGCTGCTTGCAGCCGCTCTTTCCTGCTTGGGGTTCTTAATCTGATTCTTGTTGCCTATTTCCCAACAAATGAAATGGCTTAGTGGTGCAGCTTGGTTATTATACCCGGGCGAATGCTCTGGGAGGTCGTGGGTTTGAATCCCATCTACGCCCCTTCTCTATATAAGTGGCTTGACCGCCGGGTCGAGCTATTCACGGGGAGAAGATTTTTGCGCTTTCTTCTTCCCTGGCCGATCTAGATTCCGTCGATGGAATTCCTTTAGTTTTTCTATATAGCTAAGGTGTTCTGCTAGCTCCTATAAGTTGTCTTCTAGTCCAAAGTCGAGCTATTTGATTAGGTACTCTAGCCTTCTATTAGCTATTTGCAAGTCCAAGATTTCCTTAATATCCTACTCTTCTTCTTTGTCCTTAGCTTCGATATCCTTTATAGCTCGTATATTCTTGGGTACTAGTTCAAGGAGCAAGATATAGAAGATGTTAGTATGTAACTTTATTATTAATAATAATAAAAGTCGGTAGTTAGATATCGAGATTTTTATATTAATCTTGAATGGTCTAATCTTCCTAAAGTCAAGTTTCTAGCTTAGCCGTTTTATTTTCAAGTTTCGAGAAACGAGGTAGACTATATCTCCTCTCTTAAGGCGAGGTCCCTCGAGCCGATATTTATTATAGTACTCCTTTATCCTAAGTCTGACAAACTCGAGTTTTTCTTTTAGTATTATATATAGTATATATATTTTCTCTGCCTTGATTTTTGCCCTAGGTACTATGATATCTGGTCCTTGGTATAAATCTGCTTTATAACCAAAGTTCGCGAAGAACGGAGTGACCTTTATTGTCTCTGTTGGCGTTATATTATATATAAGCTATACCGCTAGTAGTAGATCAACCTAGTCGTCCTATTGGAAGTTGATAAACGTTCTAAGGTATTGTTCAACGATCTGGTTAAGCCTTTCTATCTAGCCATCTGTCTATGGGTAGTATACTATTGAAAGCTTGCTCTTTATGCCCAAACGCTTTATAAGCGCTTGCTAAAACTTTAATGCGAATTTGGTGTCTCAGTCTATGATCTATTCTTCTAGCCATCTATGCACTGATATAATATGCCGATAGATTATATCTACAAGTTGTTCTGCTAACTATAATTCTTTATATAAGAAGAAGTAGCTCTATTTAGTAAGTCGGTCAACTATAGTAAGGATGCTATTATACTTTGTTCTAGTAGTCGAGTCTTTCGAAAGTGGTAGTTTGGTGATAAAGTCCATCGTCACTAAGCTCCATGGTCGTTCTGCAACTGGCAACGGCTCTAAGAGCCTATATGGTTTGTACTATACCGTCTTACTTTGGTTATAGAGGTTATACTCCTATATAGTGGTTTTGACTCTAGTCCTAAGTCCTGGGAAGTCGTAGTATTGCCGAACCTTGGCAATTATTTTGGCGATTCCTATATGTCCTCCGAGTTTTGACTCGTAGATCGTCTTGATCAGTTCTGTTTGATCCTATAGTGCGACGTAGGCCTTGCTATTATACTATAACGCTCTATCTCTCTAAGAGATACCTATCTTTTCGTCTA